GGATGGACACAAAGCCAAGTGTGTCTCTCTGTCCCTTCTCCAGGACATGGGTTTCTGGTGGATCAGGATGGACAGGTGTACCAGGGCTCCTTCCATGGCAACAAGAGGCACGGGCCGGGGCAGATGCTCTTTAAGTGAGTATGAGTCTTGCAGGCACTGCCAGGTGAATGGCAGATGCAGAGCAGGTGTGAGGCCACGTGGGCTGGGGACGTAGACAGGACTGACCATAGGACACCCCAGGCCTGATCCGGCCCCTGTCTGCCCCCAACCCCTCCAGGGCCAAGTTGTTTACATTCTGTGGTTTTGGTGTCATTCTGCAGTTTTCCTCCTATTTATTGAAATTGACCGATTGTGTGTTTAGTAGAGAAAACGTCACCCCCCGTCCCATTAAAATACCTCCTGAGATCAGGCAGGCGGAAGGCTCTCCAGGTCTGGATGAGGATGGGGGCGCCCTCCGGCCGGCAGAGCCTCCCGCCTCCAGCAAGTGCTAGATGTCTTCAGCTGTGTTGAAATTCCCAAGGCAGAGTCAGAGTCTCCACTGGCTGTGGAGACTGCAGGCCCCTCCTGCTGCCTCTCCCGTGTCATTGCCCGCTTCGAGTGGCGGAAGCTGAGTGTGTCCCGAGCGGGCCTGCCATCTAGGGTGGGGGTGGGCGGACGTGTCCCCGCCGCCTGTCACGGGCCTCCAGCCGGCCCTGGCGAGGCAGGAGCGCTCAGGGCCATCTGCTCAGGCCTATTTTTGCCTTGGTCCCTTGGTGCCTGCGGAGCCCAGTGGGAGGAGCCGGTCTGAGTCACCGCCGCCACCTGGCTCCCCATGCTGAGAGTGGACTCTGCGTGTGTCCCCCAGGAACGGTGACAAGTATGACGGCGACTGGGTCCGGGACCAGCGTCAGGGACATGGGGTGCTGCGCTGCGCCGACGGCTCCACCTATGAGGTACCCGGGGGCACACAGTGCCCACTGCCCAGAGGGGACAGGCCTCGAAGTGGGCAGGGCGTGTGGGTTGTGTAGGGAGCCTCGCCCTGGCAGCTTCTCCACGTGCCAGGCCCTGCTCATCCCCTATCATCCCGTGTGGGAAGTGAAGTTTCCCTCTCCCCTCACAGAGAAAAACAAACAGGAGTGGATTAGTCTGTACCTCGTGTATACTCGGGAGATACCGGAGAAGCGGGGAAGCTCACGGGCGGCTCTCGCCTTTGGTTCAAATTCCATCTTCAGCCAAACCAAAGGAAGAAGGGTGTTGGGGGCCAGTCATGGGGGTAAGGCTTGTGACGTGGCTGAGGTGGGGCCTTCTCCACCAACAGGGGCTGCCGCGCCTCAGTGACCTGGGGCCTTTCTCCTCCTCGTAGGAGGAGGAGACACCCTTACACGTGGAGTTTCCTTTTGGATGCACATTTTTGTTATACAAGGGAAACTTCTACTGTGTTTTCAGAGCTTCTCCTGTGTCTGCAGTTTCTCAAAATAATCAGCTCAAAATAGCGCTGATGCCAAAGAGGCAGATTTTGGGGTGGCACGTTCTGGTCTGCAACAGACCCTACAAGGCGGGGACTAGGATTGTTCTCTGGGGAGAGGGTCGGTGGCCCCGCGCATGCAGAGAGCAAATTCAGGAGGTTTGGAGGAGAAGGTGCCGGACTTGTGGACAGGCTGGATGTGCGGGCAGGGGCAAGAGAGGAGTCGAGGCCGGCGCCTGGGCTTTTGGCCTGCGTTGAGTGGACAGTGGGACCTGGTTCAGGACGCAATCAGGAGACAGAAAACACACCCGTCGCCAGCGCAGCAGCTCACACCTGTCGTCCCAGCACTTCGGGAGGCTGAGGTGGGCGGATCACCTGAGGTCAGGAGTTCAAGGACAGCCTCGCCAATGTGATGAAACCTTGTCTCTACTAAAAATACACAAATTAGCCAGGCGTGGTGGCGGTCACCTGTAATCCCAGCTACTCAGGAGGCTGAGGCAGAAGAATCGCTTGAACCCAGGAGGCGGAGGTTGCAGTGAGCCGAGATCGCGCCACTGCATTCCAGCCTGGCGACACAGTGAGACTCCGTCTCAAAATAAATAGATAAATCAATAAAAGAAACCACACCTATCACTCCAATGGGGAAATTGTAATGAAAGAGTCACTAACAAGGACGAAGCAGCTAGCTACCAAAAGGGGCAAGAGAAGGAATAGCAAGATCGCAGAAGCAGGAGGGGTCCTGCTGACAGCCCCTCGGCTGCGGGGGCTGCAGTTGTTGCCCGGGCTGGGTGGCAGGCCTGAGCGCCCCTGACCGTCCAACGGCACTAACAGGAAGGAACCACACGTGCAAGTCAGCGCGCCGCTGCCGGAGGATCAGGGCGGCCAGGGCCTCGGAGAGGACTCCCTGGGTCCTTCGGGCCTTCGGGCCTCCGGGCTGCCATTGATGAGAAACAGCATTCTATGGTGCGGGCCGCGGAATTACGATATCAGCTGAATTCCCATCCTTGCCAAGATTCCCATGTGGACATTGGCGCAATGGTTGGAGAGAACTGTTCCTGGAACTGGGAGGAACCCAGCACCCTCCTGAGATTCAGACCTCAACAGAGGGTGTAGCTGCCAGCCCAGGTGGGAGAAAGGTTTTTTAGGGTTCCAGGGACCAGAGCTAGTCTCAGGAAACTCCCCCTGAGGCACAGGAGACCCTTGCCAGAGACCAGACACTGGGGGGCTTTCTGCAGGCCACTGGCCCCGGCCGTAGGCGTTAAAAGTAGACACACTTCCTCCCACAGTCCCACCTGGTTCTCTTTGACAAAGCCTGGCCTTGCACTTGCTGGCAAAGGAGAAACGTTTATAGGGTCCAGCTCCCATCGGGCAGAGCAGGCAAGGAAGGGGGTGCTGGGAGTTGAGAGGTGATGGATTGGCCGTTGGCACGAGGCCTCATGGGATGGAGGAGATGGGGGTGCAGGTGGGAGCCTCGTCCTGGCTGGGGCAGCTGCCCCACAGCAGGGCCTCAGAGCTGGTCAGATGTGGGGCCCTGGAGGGGTGGTCAGGCCCCCCTCCCCATGCATGTCCATCCTCCCTGCTCTTGAAACAGACCATCCTGCTTGGGTAAAAGTGCCGCCCATGCCCACTCTGGGAGCGTCCTTGCTGGGCCATGGGAGTCCACGTCAGCATTGCTGCCACCCCCGCTGGCCCAGGCCGGTGCTGCTGGTTCCCACATGAGCCACAGGCAGGAGGTGCTGTAGTCTGGCCACGGCTCCACCTCTTCTGTCCCAGGGACGTGTGTTCGTCCTGCAGGACCAGGCTTCACAGTGTGCCGGGACAGCCACGACTCCCTTTCCTTCACTCTCCAGAGTGGCCGTGGGAGAGACGGCCACAGGAGTCTCTGGCCAGAATTCTCTTCTCCCTTCCTAAGGCTGAGCAGGGCCTCGCCTTGCAGGGCTGGGGCGAGGCTGGGGCCGGCTCTGGTGCACAGCTCTGGAGCACAGCTCTGGAGCTTGGGCTCGGGTGTGTGGTTTCACTTCCTGGATGCCAGGTTCTGCTCTCTGCCTTTCAGTGCATGGGCTCATGATTCTCGCTAGTCCGTGCAGAGTGTGGGTGAGGAAGCTAAGGCACAAGGACCACGGGCTCCCGCACCAGGGAGTGGACGCACAACCCTGGGAGCCCCCGGCCACTCACCAAACCCTCACGTTCCCTGAGATTTGGGAGGATCTGGTCAGGGCTCGTCTCACGGCCCAGGGACTCAAGTGCCACCTGCTGCCAGACAGGCTGTCCCCTCCAGCCTGGGCTGGGCAGGGCTGGGCAAGAAGCAGCTCCCGTTCTTCCAGAGGACCACGGAAGGACTTTGTCCTCCCCACCCCCACTCCCAGCACAGCCCTGTCCGCAAAAGCTGTTCTGTCCTACGGGTCCCCTGACTGCCACCCAGGCGCCAACTTGGGGCCACGCTGCCTGCTGGTCACCATTGGCCAGGGCGGAGAGAGGACCGGGCGAGGGACGGCTCCCTCCTTCCTGGGCTGATGGCAGCAGGGCACTCGGTGCGTCCACCAGGGGGCAGCCCAGCCCCTTCCCGGCGCCACACTGCACCGGCCTCGCTGGAGGGAGGCGGCTCCTCCCTGGGAGCCTGGAGCTCATTCCCAGCCTGTGGTGTGGATGGGTGAGGATGGCCGGGGATGGGCACTGGGCCTGGGGCTCGCTGCATACGCCTGAGAACAGGCCCCGATTGGCTCCCCAGTGCTGCGATGCGGCTCTGTCGCCACAGGCGTTTCTATTTGGGATGGCTTTTCCTCTTGGTGCTAAAGTCTTGAATTCCTCAGAGTTCTGCAGAGGGTTCTGCAAAGGTCTTGGTGCAAACCCTTTGAGTGACCTACATTCCCTGGGGTTATAACGTGACCTCCCCTTCCCTCTGCCGTCCAGGCCCAGAGGACTGGATGACCTGGGCGGGCCCTGGGACTGCCGGCCAACCGAGGCCCGCACACCCTCACCAGGCAGGCCCGTGGCCTGAGCTCCGTGAGGACACTGCTGTGTGCTGGTGCTCGGCGCCCCCTGGGGTCCCCTGGACAATATCCCCAGCAGCAGCAGTCCCCTGGCCTCGTCCACACTGCTGCCACCTGTGGGCACGGGCAGACCGTGGCCAGTGCATGCAGCCACCGAGCCGCCCGCTCCTCCAGCACCTTCTACAGGCATTGCCCCTGCCCAGACCGATGTAGACGCTAGGAACAGAGAAGGGTGCCCGAGGCCAAGAGGACAGGCTGGGCCCCGCGCCCTCAGGATCAGGGCCAGCCTGGGCCGCCTCCCACGCAGCACATGGGGCTGCTAGACTGCACTTCGGAGGCAGGAGGTTTTCACATGCCTGTTTGTGCAAGAAAAAACGACCGGGTCTGTCCCTCGGCTCCAGTTAATTCGGAGAAGCAAGGCTCTCTCGGTGCGTGGTGCCCACAGCCCAGCTGCGCAGCTGTCTGCTCTGCGCCTTGGCGCTGGACCCTCCAGCCACGGTGCCCCTCCGCCACCTTCAGCCTGGAGAGTAAACGCGTCAACCCAGAGAGGCAGCAGCAGCTGGAGAGGGGAGTCCGGCCGCACATCCCCAGGCCCGTCCCAAGTGAGGGGACGGCCGTTCCTTGTGATGTCATTCGTCAAATACTTAGCCCACTTGAAAAAACATTTTGTCAGCCAGGCACAGTGGCTCACACCTGTAATCTCAGTACTTTGGGAGGCCAGGGTGGGAGTATTGCTTGAGCCCAGGAGTTTAAGACCAGCCTGGGCATCATAGGGAGACTGTCTCTACAGAAGAATTTTTTAAAAATTAAAAATTAGCCGGCCGGGCGCGGTGGCTCAAGCCTGTAATCCCAGCACTTTGGGAGGCCGAGGCGGGTGGATCACGAGGTCAAGAGATCGAGACCATCCTGGTCAACATGGTGAAACCCCGTCTCTACTAAAAATACAAAAAATTAGCTGGGCGTGGTGGTGCGTGCCTGTAATCCCAGCTACTCAGGAGGCTGAGGCAGGAGAATTGCCTGAACCCAGGAGGCGGAGGTTGCGGTGAGCCGAGATCGTGCCATTGCACTCCAGCCTGGGTAACATGAGTGAAACTCCGTCTCAAAAAAAAAAAAAAAAAAATTAGCCAAGCATGATGGCACACACCTGTGGTCCCAGCCACTCAGGAGGCTGAGGAGGGAGAACCACTTGAACCCTGGAGGCAGAGGTTGCAGTGAGTTGAAATCATGCCACTGCCCTCCAGCCTGGGCGACAGAGCAAGAACCTGTCTCAAAAAAATAAAAAACCTAAACACCAACTTTTTTGTCGTGGTAAAATACATGTAATATAAAAGTTACCATCTTAACTGCTTTTTATTTTGTAGAGGTGAGGTCTCACTGTTGCCCAGGCTAAGCGTGAACTCGTGGGCTCTCAGTGCTTCTGCCCCGGCCCCAGAGGGCTGGGATTTCCCGCGTGAGCCACTGCACGGCCACACCCGTTGTGAGGCACACACACACCACA